CCCCCCCCTCTTTCCCCCCCCAGGGTCACGGGGGTTTATGCTTTGCAGACAAATGAGCCAGATTGCCCTTTGTTTGCAGAAAGTCAGGGCTATAATGGTGCAAACTCTCTCTTGTCCCCTCCCCTGCCATCTTCCCCAACTCAGAGCATCACAGAAACGTCGTTAGAAAACTCGGTTTTGAAACACAGAACAAAACATTGCATTTATTTTGAGTTCTTCCTCCATGCTGGAGTAGAGCTCAACTTCACAATTCATTATTAAAACCATTCTGCAGCAACATCTGCAGGGAATTATGTAAAGTTATCTCTGTGCACTGCCAAGCCAGTCTGAGGTTTGCTCTTGCACTCACACCATCTGTAAAAATTAGGCAGTGCTTTACAGCTTGAGTTAACCCTTACAGATGCTCCTATCTCTCAGGCATCAAAACACAACTCTAAAGCTGATGTGGCATGGATGCCTAGACTGAGACTCATCAGCCCTCATCTCTGATGAGGATTCAAAAAGAGCCTGAACCTCACAGAAGGCACACAGGGAGCTGTAGCCACTGTGCCCAGACCAAGCTCAGCTCGAGCTTTGCTGCATTACTCCAAGTCCTGCCTTAATGCTAATCCAAGAACATGCATTTTTAAGGTAGAAGTGCAATTTTCTCCCCATATATGTCGACCCTTTGGTTGGCATCTGTCAGCATCCCTAGCTGCAATAACCAAGATGTCTCTACACTCACAGAATTCATCTAGGCTCTGGTAACTCTCAGGTATTTTCAACATGGAGCTACAACAGTTACTGAGAGATGAAATGTTCCACTTGCCACGCATGCATAGACATGGCAAGATGATGACTGCAAAATAGATTGGTCACACTGGCGACTGAATAAATGATAAAAATACTTTGATTCTAAAAATCATGTTCTTGCTTCTAATAGTATCCCCAGTCCTCTTCCCAAAAGACTTTAAAAAAAAAAAAAAAAATTAAAAAAGTGTTATCCACAACCCATACCATGGGAAACTACTAGAATATAGTTAAAGGACTATTTTTATGCAAGTTTTGCTTATGTTTACATACATCCTCACCCATCCATGCTTCAATATTGTCCCTTTCTCCACACCAACAGGAAAAGTAGCTATTCCTGTTGAAGTCTGCCTAATCATAAGATGCCACAAATAACTTTAAAAAAATAATTGGAGGATGATGCTTTGGTTTCTAATTCTCCCCTCACCCATTAATTTCTCCGCAGACTTTGACTGTCAATTTATGAGCTGAACTAAAGTAAACAAGAAGGATAGTAACATTGTAAAAGGGAATAGGAATCCCTCCTGCATGAGTGGACTACACAGTCTTCTAAACAAATACTTAAATAACACTCTACCTCTCAAGAGTCTTGAAAAAATCCCACTCAAGCAGCAGTCTGATACATTTCACACATGCTCTTTGGGCTTCAGAGAGCTGCTCCCTTTTAAGTCCTTCTGCCATGGAACTACAGGGGTTGAGGGTTTTTTTGATCCTACAACTTAAATTGTCCTACAAAGCAGTACTAGATGCAATCAGGTCACTTCCAGACTTGCACACAAACTTTTTCGTGCCAACAGCTGATTACTTTCCTTCAGAGATGTGATCTGCTTCACTAAAAACCAGCTAAGGCAAGAGTATTGCTGCGCAGATGAAGACACTTGCTTTTTCCATCCCTCTAGAGCTCTTCCCACACAGTACATGTATATTTGATACACACAGGGAAGTCAGCCACAATTGCCTCGGACAGACCTCCAAAGAATAGGCAGAAGCAGAAACAGAGAGGCACTGGAAGCAGCATTTTGCAAAAGGGATTTTCTGCAGTAAGCATATTCTCACACCCACTTCCTAAAAATTCACTA